TTTGAGTAACGTTTCAAACATAATACACCAGCTGCTGTCACATGACAAAAAAAACTAACAATAAAATCTTTTTAATTGTGAAATCTTAAATAAAACTTAAACTTGGAAGAACCCCATTGAAAAATAATTGCAATCATTCAATCAGGTGTAATCTCTCATGGAAGGGAACTAATCTTATTCAGGAGTGAAAAGCGACCTTGAAATTCTTTCATAGTCAGAGAATTTGGTAGAGACCTGCTGTGTGTATAATTGATACAATTCTATATAAGTCCTTTTTATTTAAGCATTACATTCTCTGTTAGTTTTATCTACAAATGTTTCAATCACAATTAGAATTTTGCACACAGAAGTCCATCGAGCGACAATCAGTGACGGTACAATATAAACGGAGCTACAACTGAATGGTCTGATCTTTTCTAAAGCAAGGAACAATGAGACCTTTTTTTTTGTATAAATTGAAGAAGTAATTAATTATTGAAATGATGAAATACTCTGTTACATTAAAACCATCATAAAGAAGTGATACTCCTTCCTGATTAAACATGCATACGGCGTACTGTAAAATACTGATGCTATGCTTGATGAATCTCAGTTAGTCTGGATCACATTTTCAAAAGCATTATACCTCCTGACTGCTTTTGTACTTGGTTTGTGATTGTGCCAGTGACTGCAATCTTCCGTTGAAAAGACTCTGGATGATCAGATGAGGAGTTTATACACTATTGTACTCTACCCACAACAATAATGTGATTTGTCATTTCTGTCCAGCACAATTTTACTTGATCATTCGATTATTCAATTAATTGTCAGAGCCCTAGAGTATATCCTTATGTCATGTTTTGTACACACTCGGTAAAAGTGCAGATGACATTCTTGACTATTTTAATTATGCTTTAATAACAATGTTTAATTATCTGGTTTCAAACAAACTGGTGTTAAATGTTTCTGAAATCGATTCAATTCTGTTTGTCTCACAGCCCAAAGATATGAAATGTGATCCCTTGTCAATTGTTGTCAACTAACATTTTAGATATAATATTTTGATATTTAAAATGGATTCAGACTTGAAACTGGATAAAGAATGGACAATCATAACAACATAGCAAGCTATGCGGTTTTAGCTGGTTATACTCCAGCATTACCCAAACACATATTCTGGGGTCCCCAAACCTTGGCTCTTGCCAACCTGTGGTCATTTCCATGTGTCAGTGGCATACATGGAACTCTCATTCTAATTTGGATACTCTTGAGCATGATGATGGGTTTCCTCATGTGTCAGACGCCAGGCCAAACAAAGTTAACAGTAAAAACAATGTTCACTGGAAACTTTGGTTTGTTTATGGCATTAAACATTAATTATCAATCAATCAATCAATTAATTAATGTGGACTGGGAATTGGTTAATGATGTAAGACAGTAAAGATGTTTCATCAGCCTGAAGTTGCAAGTTTATGAGATGGTAAGACAATGTTGAATATGAATTATATGTTTGGATAATATTATAGGATTTTAAATCTTACTTTTAACTCTTCAAACTAAAGCTTAAATACATAATTGAAAATACTTATATTGAAATCTATATAAATTGCCTTCGATGAATGCCTTCCAAATATTGAATCTGCCTGATTATTTCTTTAACATACTATCTTGTGGATCACGCTACAGATGAAGAACTTGGTAATATTTTAATATTATTTAACATTGTAAGCAAAACTAAATAATTTAAGAAAGTTCATCATTTTGAAGTATGTTTATGTTATCTTTAGTTTGCATGCATCAGGTTACATTATACAGTCATCGGTCTTGCTGTTCTGGTTTGAAATGCGAAAGCATGTTTCACTTTCTATTATTCTCTGTATCCTCTGGATAATCATTTGTATTAGTTTTTTCTAGCTAGTTGCCTACCAGTGAGCTTTTCATTCAAAAGAGATTGACAGTTCCAAGCATGTGGTTCATTTATATGTATTCCTGCTTAAATTAGGTATTTCAAACTCAACTGGAGATCAGTAACAATAGAAACAACAAAAAATAAAGGAGAAAAGGAGAATTACATTCTGTGGAAGCTTGGCAGTTATACTTATGCCTTGGCTGAAGCACTGAGCAGCCATTGTATTGATATTTGGGATACGCTTATTCCAGAATGTTAGACATTTTCCAGATTTAATAATAACTGTCTTTAAATACACAAAATATATACTGAGGTAGCACATTATCAACTGGCTTCCATTGATCACAAATCTGTAACAAGGTTTATCATCAGAAGGAAAAAAAGGGCGGTTTGAATGTTTTAAAAATGGAGCGCAGTTAGAATGTGGGATAACTAACCACAAATGAAAATTGAAGTTGAGTTCATAATAGTATTTAGAATGGAACTGGAGAAAAATAAAGTTAAAGGGTCTATGGAAAGAACAGGAGAATGGGATTAGAGCAGATGGCTCTAGTGGGGGTCATAACTATAAACTATGCTATTAACATTCTATGAAATGTTGACATGACCTGCAGCTGCTATCCTAAGGATCTACATGTAGGTAACTGGGAACATTTTACCGGCATTTCACAAACCAATCATTTGTCTTAGTTTTCATATACACAGCCCAATGGCTTTCTCAGAAGTCAGCTGTATTCTTCAATTATTCTGCTTTAGGTTTGTTCCATACTGTTATTTCAGTTGCTTTTAATTGAAAACACTATGCAACTTCCTTTTGAGGATGCTGATGCTCGCAGTACTTTATTTCAGAAAGTGCATATATTAACATTTTGAGTTTTGAGAAATATATCCTTACCATGGATCATTATATATCAAAGGACAGTTTTGCTCTCTTTCTTGAACAAAGTTATGGGATACAGCATTTCTGTTTGCTGCCACTGAGTATCAAAGTTGACATTTTGCCTGATACCCTGATGTTGGGGATGAGTGATTATGTTTATGAGTAGAAGCTTGAACAATTGGGGCTGGGATTGATAGTGAATAATAATAATAAAAATCCTTGCATTTGATATAGCGCTTTTCACGTCCGGAGGACGTCCCAAAGCGCTTCACAGAATACACTGTAAAGTGAATTGACTGTATATTTGTGGGCGAACGCGGCAGCCAATTGCGCATAGCAATGTCCCACAAACAGTCTTGGATTGAAAATGACCAATTTATTATTGTTTTGGGTTTTTGGAGGGATTATTATTAGGCGTGTGGAGTAAGGAAACTTGCCTTACTCAAACAGGACTCAAAGTGAAGTGAGCTCATTGTGCTCCAGGGTACTGCTGATGACAAACCAGCTTGCCTGGTTGATTGGCAGGAGTTGGAGAGACACATCAGTCTCTAGGAGCAGGGATTCTTCCCACTCAGCTTCTGTTAACCATGCAAGCCCAATCCTTAATAGGTAGACTGGAAAAGCAGAGGGTAGCTTTCCAGACTGTGCTTTCAATGACATTATTATGTAGTTTAGGTAGTTGTGGTCCCCAAGTCTTGGCTCTTGCCAATCTGCGCTTAATACTTTCCATAATTAGGTAAGCAGGATGCTTCCCTCCAGGGAGAGAGCGTACATTCCACTCTAGACACAGGGAAATTTGCATAGGTAGGTGGAATGCATGGCAACTCTCAGTCTGGTTTGAATACTCTTAAGCACGGTAATATGTTTCCGCATGCGTCAGTCATCCAGCTAATCAAAAGAAAAACAGAGAAACTTAAGAGGAGAACAAAATGCTAGTGCAATTGCAAACTGCAAGTTTGCTTTTAGGGAAATTTCCAGTGGAGAAAGATCCAAGTATTCCAATCAAAGGTCATAAAGCAAAGCAGGCTTTGCCAGCATTCAGGATCATTTTTCAGTAAATTATGTAGAAAATCACTAGGTGAGAGGAATTACTGAAATTTTTGTTGAAAATCGGAAATTGCAAATAGAACTTCCAGTTTGTCAATGCCACGTTTTCAACCCCCCCTAAAAATGGATGCAGGGGGAAGAACAGGAAATTGAGATTGAGATCATTGAAGGAGATGGCAACAATTCAAGTACGAATGGCAGAAAGGCTTAGTTTCATGCTATATATTATATGATTTTCTCCCAGTTTCATTGCTGCAGTAATTTTGAATGCAACCAGAAAAAACCAGAGTTAAAGAAAAAACAATGGAGTTATTCTGCTCTATTTGGAGCTTCATACAACACTATTAGCTCTGGGCTAAGATTTACACTTTGTCAATGTTTGCAAATTTGCGTGGTTCTAAACAAAATAATAATCCTTGCATTTGATATTATCACGGCTCTGAGTAAACTGTAAAATGTATTGACTATATATGTGGGCAAAATGCAGCAGCTAAATGCACACAGCAGTATCTCACAAACAGTCGTGGATTGAAGAGACCAATTCATTATTTTTTTTTGAAGGAATTATTACCCTCAGAAAAGCGATCCGCTAATTGACTAACAACCTGGGTTCCTTCTTACTGCTAGGTAAACAGAGGCATGTGGAGTAAGGAAACTTATAATAATAACATTTATAAGTGTTATTATTCCTCCCGGGAATTGAACCCAGGTCTCTTGCATCGCGAATGCTCTAACCACTGAGCTACAGGACTCCACAATGACATGTGAACGATAGAAATAAAATAATTCTGATATAATATTAAAGTATAAATAGAAGATGTAAAATGAAGGCTGGGGTTTTTCCGTTATAATTGCATATTACCAAAGGCACGTCACTTGAGGCAAGAGGAATTTCAACCTTTTCCCCCACCACCACCCGTTCTCTTAATTCTGGTTATCAATGGACCACAATTAAATGGCTGATTTTAAACTATGATTAAAGCAAAAACACGACTGGCATAACCTTTCCAGACTAGCTACGTTAGACTGTTATGATTTTCCCTGATCCTCCCTCTGATCCCAACAATAAAAATAATTCATCCCTGTCATATCTTTTAATGAGGCATGAAATATCACATTTACTGCTCAAAATGTTCAGCAACACTTACAGCATTTTGCTTTCAAGTCATTTTGGCGTTAACTAACCTTGTTCGGGTACTTGGGGTTTGGTTGTCGTAGATTTTATCTTGAGTGCCTCCTTGGCAGACATGTCACAGCAGGAGCCTTTATTAGTGTCTTGATCGCTGTCAGCCTGGTCACTATCTCCATGTCCACTGTCCCTCAAACTCACCCTCTCTGGATCTTTGAATGTGGAATTACTGAAATAAAAGACGCCATTGGCTCGCCACTATATCCAATTTGAGTAATATGGTTTGACTGAGCAATGCAGACAAGAATGCAAATGCAGTAGCTGAGAAGTTATTTAATAGGACTTACCTTTGAACAAACTGCTGCCTGCTGCCCATGTAATTGGGCTCTGCGGGAAAATTGTCTGTCTGTGAAGAATAGATGAGAAAATTTACGTATATTGGTACATATTAAAATCTCCTAGAGTAAAACAAAATCTGCTACAGAAAATTATTAATAATTCAAAATTTCTCTTATCTTTAGATTTGTACACTATAATTTCTTTAAAATGCTGCCTATATAATTACATATCCTAAACAATAAGTTCTCTACAAGCCGAAAAATAACAGTTGGATTAAACAATACAACTATCAAAATTGAAAAATCTGTATTACATGCACTTTTCAATTGCCTTTTTTACAAATTTGATTTAAGCAACGAAAAATGTCAGTGCTGAGATGCAGAACACTTTGCGTTAGGTGGCATGAACTGTAAGTATCAATCGCTCCAGGGATGAGACTTTCAATTCATTGATTTTCCTTTAATGCAACAATTATCCGAAACAATCCATGATATAACAAATTTAATATTTTAATATTTCGAATATGGGCATTGCTTAATTTCATTTCACACATAATTAAACCTTTTTCATAAGATTTCAATTGGATAGTTTTAACCCTCAAAATACTTATTGTCATTTGCAACTTTAAACCAAATCTATTGTTTTCTGTTGAGCAACTGAATATAATGATTTTTACTGGGGGTAGGGATTCTTCCCACTCAGCTCCCGTTAATCCTGCAAGCCAAAACCCAAATGGACAAGCAATGGGAAAGCTTGCTAGAGCTTGTTCTCAATGGCAAGCGATGCGATTTTTAGCTGGTTAAACTCCAGCAATACCCTAACACACACTCTGAGGTCCTAATATTTTCCAGAATTTAAGTGCACCGGGATGCTACCCTGTGTGAAGGGCGCTATATAAATGCAAATTGTTGCTTTTGTTGTTATTGAATTAGGTAAGAAGGATGCATCTATCCAGGGAGAGAATGCACAATCCATTTCAACAAATATCTCTGGAATTTCCATGTGAAGGTGGGATGTATTGAATTCTTAGTTTGGTTTTGATACTTTTAAGTATGCTGGTGCGTTTCCACATGTGTTAGACACCCACCCTTACCGAGAAACAACATAATGATCATTTGTCCATAACTAATGGGAAATCTGCTGAAGCAAAATTAGTAAACGCTAAATAACATTAGAACACGTCCCTATTAAAGAAGTATCTATTTCTTTAATTGAAAAGAGATTTGGTGTCAGAAATTCCCAGATGTCAGAATGAAAATAATATCCACAGTAGAGTGAGAGACTATGGAAAAGACTGAAGTGACACACAAATTAAATAGTGTAATTTGTGCATGATCAGTACCATCTGCTTAACACTGACAATTTTTAACAATTTTCTCATTTAATACAAAAATCTCCCGCAGATCACAAAATCTTGAACACAATTTGCCATTTTATTTATTTTATATTTGAATTGTGTCTGTTTCTGTAGGTTTCAATTGGGACATTCTGATAAACATATTTTAATACATGCAGAAATTTGGATTTTGTAAATGTGCCATTTAGCTGGACATTTTAAACACACTGTTGGTTATTGTTATCTGTTTCAATAATATATTTCAATCAGAAGCATATGCATTTTGCACCTTTGGCCAAGCCCTTCTGCATAAATTAAACTATATTAGCTGGTTGTGCAATTTTTGTTCAATCAGAATGTTTAAACATTCAAATAGAGTTCCAATCCCACAATTGCCATTTTAGTTCTATACATTGAACTCTACTGAAACACAATCTATAATAATAATAAGAAGAAGAATAAGAATAATCCTGGCATTTGATATAGCACCTTGTCACATTAATTTGAACTGAACTTAATGGGAATTTGTCAAATTACAGAAATATCCAGAGACCATTAATTACACACAAACAGTATTGCACTGCCCTGTATTACTCTTTACTTCATATTTTACACAACTTTTCTTTTTTACGCAATATTCATGTTGCAGCAAGGTGGTGGATATGGTCACCTTAAAGGTGTTGCACTCCAACTGCACGCCCAAAGAATCAAGGTGGGTCGCATGATCCAATGTGCTGTACAGAGCTGTTGTCATAAAGTTGTGGGGATCTGGAGTGCAGTACTGCCAGAAGTCATGCTCTGCCTGTCCAGATGAAGGTCAAACTAGTATTAACATGCTTTGCCTCAGGTTGACTTCAGATACCACTGAGGGAATCTGAAGTCTTCAGTTAGCCCTCTATTTCACAATTTGCTTTCAGGTGACAGATGCTCTTGCCATGTAGGCGCAAGTCTTGGGTCCTTGGAGCAACAATGGGTCAAACATATGCCCTACTAAATAACAATCTTTATAAATAGCCTGGGTTTAATTGATTACACAATGTAGATCTTGCCCGCCCACGATAGACATTTTGGTAATGTGCCAGGAGCATACAGGTGATTGTGATACCATGTGTAAAATCATTCCTCCATTCCCAATTTATGTATTTGAACTCCTCCTGGGCAGATGGCCTTCCTTTGACAATCAGGACTGATCCTTTGTTTTGCCTCTTCAACTTGTCCCACATTCGCTCAATAACAACAACAACAAATTACATTTGTATAGCTCACTATCTGAAATGGGTCACTTCTGTTGTCCTTTCTGACATCTGGGAAGCTCTACCACAAAATGTATTTTAAGCTTCCCTGGGACAATCTGAAATAAGCATGACCAAAGAGATTATGCTTATGCTTCGCAACTTGAGGCATTTAAACTCTAGTTGTTTTTCAACTGTACTATTCTCTGTAACATTACATTACTTGTCTGTTACACAATTACTGTATTTTAGGATGCTTATATTGTTAATGTGTGACATGCAAGTAGGTACCTGCTTTCAATGTTATGGGCAATTGGATCCCAATAAAGAGGAAATATCAATAAAGTCATCATTCTTTTCATTTCAAGCTTTTCCAAATTCAGCAGCAAAAAGACTTTACTGATTTCAGCAAAGAACACACTAACGTGTTTTAAATACTCAAAGAGCATCACCTGTGTTTTATTTACCTTGAATGATTAAAATCCTTTTGCAACACAACTGTAACTCTACAAAATTTCAGTAAAATGTTTCTGGAATAGTGATACAACTATGTGTCAAACACCTGAACTCCGACTCCACTCCACCCTCCAATTCCATCCCTGATTCCTCTCTAGATTCCATCTCTATTGCACTCTGACTATAATTTGCAATCTATTTCCACTAAATAATTTGTCATCTCTTTCCAGTTGTGCAGTAATAATTAAATGCTGACTTGCTCAACTTGATCATTATTACTAAAGTCAACTGTAGTGAGGGTTACAGCTTTGAATGTCACACAGGAAAATTCAGGTCAGATATGTAAATTGGTAAAGGTTGATTTATGTACAGTTTACAGGGTAATTTTCTACTTGTCTGTAAGTTTTTAAATATTCGCAGCCTGTCCTTCTAATGGGAAACCTACACATGTAGCCATATAAGTAAATTTACCTGTGAGCAGAAAATGTATATTCTCAAAATCTTCCAACAGTGACCTGATTTTAAATAATTTTATAGTATAAAAAAGGAATTGCCTTCAATCTTTTTCTATCTGTACATTTAACAAATTCCCGTTATGTTCAGTTCAAACTTTAAACTGTTTGCATATAAAAGTTAAGATTTTCAGTGATTTAAATCACTGTAAAGTGAATTTCATGCAATAAAGGTTCACAGAGTGCTGAGCAGTCATGGCTTTTAAGAAATATATTGATGTTGAAAAAACACTTCTTTCTGTTTATTCATTTTTTAAACAATGTGAAATGCAGCCATATGTACAGGTATTTTGGATACTGATGTATATATGGGCTATTTTCTATATTATTTTTAATGAGCATTGTATGATATGATTTTTCAAACACGCCAATTTATTCCACTTGTATGGAACTATGAAGTGTGATAACAATGTTGTTGACTCAAGAGATATTGTGGCATTCAACGTATTTACACCATTCAGTAAAGATACGTACTTAGAGTTGCTACACTGTCAATAAAGAGCACATTAAGACCCTACTGAAAGGGCTTCCCTGTCAATTATAGCACAGAAGGATTCTATTGCCAGAGTTTTCCTGTCAATTTAATATAGTAGGTCATATTAACGGCACTGTCTTGTCAATAAAACAGTTCTGAATCCTATTAATGGGGCTATTCTGTCAATATCATCTGCCTTCTTATTTTGCAGCCTCTCCGGTGTCTGGAAATCCAAATGGGATTATAGGGTTACTCTGTGTCTATCTGCTGTACTGCATATAAATTTACCAGAATATAATAGTATTATCAGAACATTCCCTGTTAAGTCCATCTGTGTGTATCTTTATGACCAGGCTTCTAATCGTATCAAATAACTTGCATATGAAATGAAGAACTATTTTGGAAATATGCTTAGAAAACTCAATAAAATAATTCTGGTATCTATTTTTGGTACTTCTCAATTGTTTCTAGGGTTTCTCAATTGTTCCTAACAAAACTGAACATAAAAAATGATTTTAATTCTAAGTAGAAATAGAAACCATGGCAACTGCTCACACAATATCACAGTGCTCGGCTGATGAGTTACTGTAGAGATGTCTGTGATCTAATCGTGAACAAAATTAGATGGCTTGCTTTTGGTATGTAACAAGGCGGTGCAATTAAAGATGTCCACATAAGAAAGATAGAATTCAGAGCTTGAGATGGAAACAAGATGATATTAGACCACAGAGACGGGCTCACTCCAGACTGGCACTAGTTCAGCTTATCCATTATACAAATCTTAGAAGATGTTAGAGTGTAACATTGCCAAAAGAAGAACTGAATTTTTGCTCCTTCAGTAATTTATGGTTCTGATAAAAGTCTTGCGAAATGCAGTGAAAAGTGTGAAATACTATAGTTTTCAATGAGAGTACAGTAACAGCTTAATCATTGCATGAAGCTGCAGGTGAACAAAATAAAACAAGAGTGTTTTGTATNAAAAAAAGGTACTTCTTGAAGTGTTCAATAGTTTGCATGTAAGAACTGAATTCACATATATCAACAACTTGCATTTAT